GGGAGGAAGGCGGAGGAGGGGGAGGGGTCTGGAGCTGCGGAGACTGTTGGTCTCAGGGGCCGCCAAATCCTTCTCGGGTGGGAGGATAATAATTGGAAAGAGGGGGGGCTCCTGACTGTGGGGACAGTCCAGAGAAAGGCGCTTCTCCTGCTGCCCACCCCCCAGGCCTTGGGGAGGGCATACCCTGGGGGGTGGGCCAGAGAAAATGCAGGGCCCTGGGGTGCCGTGGGGCGCAGGGAAGACCAAGACCAGGGCCTGCGTGCAAAGTGCTGGCTCTCTACGGGGAGATGGAAGCACACAGCCCTGGGCCCTTCCCGGATCTGAGCGCTGTGATGTGCCACCTCGTTTCGTCCTCGGACGGCTGCAGCGTCAGCGTCCCCGCTTCCGGGAAGGGAGCTGAGGGAGAGGGAGATGCAGGGGGAGCAGCTGGACCCAGTCCCTGGATGACTTTAGCCTCCAGCACATGCGCCAGACACCTGAGCTTCGGGCCCCCGGGCCCCCGGGAGGGGAGGGATTGGCACTGGCGGTCCATGTCAGGGCTTTGTCCCACAGACACGTGGCGCCGGCTCAGCCACGGAGGGGCAGCCTTGGCTGCAACGAGGAGCACCTGCGGCGCAGGGAAGGGTGTTAAATGCACCAGGGGTGTAATTTGCGGTGATGACTCCCAGCGGTTAAAAGCAGGGCGGCCCCGCTCTCTGTGCTGCGTGGAACACGTCCAGGAGGCATGAAGTGAAGAGACCCAGGTGTGTGTTCTGTGTAGTTCCGTTGACCTACGTTTAAAGCAACATGCGAATATGTGCGGGCAGAGCCACCAAGACTTTCTGGAAGTGTATTTGTGGAGTAACCCTGCGTGGAGGGGGGTGTGGGGTTGAGAGGAGGGAGACGGAGCCTTGCCTTTTATTCCACAAAATGTGTGTGTGGCCCTGACCGGTTTGGCTCAGTGGATAGAGCGTCGGCCTGCAGACTGAAGGGTCCCAGGTTTGATTCTGGTCAAGGGCATGTACCTTGGTTGCAGATACATCCCCAGTGGGGGGAGTGCAGGAGGCAGCTGATCGATGTTTGTTTCTAACTCTCTATCCCTCTCCCTTCCTCTCTGTAAAAAAATCAATAAAAAATATATTTTTAAAAATGTGTGTGTGTTACTTTTATAACTTAGAGGAAAACATAGTCTAAACTTTCATGGTTTTTTTTTTTTAATATTTCTTTATTGATTTCAGAGAGGAAGGGAGAGGGAGAGAGAGAAACATCAATGATGAGAGAGAATCACTAATTGGCTGCCTCCTGCACACCCCCTATGAGGGATGGAACCCGAAACCCAGGCATGTGCCCTTGACCGGAATCAACCCCGCGACTCTTCAGTCCTCAGGCCAACATTCTATCCACTGAGCCAAACCGGCTAGGACTGAACTTTCTCTTGAACGGGCCTGAAGGTGTAGGGAGGGTCTTGACAGGTGGGGCTGAGGAAGGGGGGTGCAGGCGGGAAGAACAGAGACGCAGGAGCAAGGAAGTTCTGGGCCGGGGTTTGGCGGCATCACAGGATTTTTTGGGGGGAGGGGGAGAGGAGGAAGGGCGACAAGCCTGGGAGGCAGGTGGCCTGTTCTGGAGGCTGGAGCTGAGCTATCCTATCCGTTAAGGTGTTTCTGTTTTATCCAGTAAACAATGGGGAGTTTTCCGGCCGGGAAATCACACCGATGTTTTCCGCTCGTGCCGACCACTTTGAAAAGGGCCTCCTCAGACCTGATTACACGTTTTAATCTTGATAGCAATTGCCAGGTAGGCAGGGCGGGCCTCGCAGAGGAGGGGACGGGAGGTTGTGGACCAAAGACCAGACCCTCGGAGTTTTAACTTGAGAAGCTTTTGTGCTTTGTCCGCACTGCTCTGTAGGAAGGCAGGGGAAGGCGGGGGGGCAGTCTCCCAGCAC